CCGAGCGTCTGGTAGTGTGAGCTAAAAGATTGCGCGTTAATATTCTGCCTGTAGCGAAATTTCACTTCGTATATTCTTTATGTCTTCATCACATTCCAACCTGCAGGTGTTTTAAAGTACGAGGAGTAAAGGGCTGAGCTGAATTATTACAAAAGATTGAAAACTCAAACGAATCCCTGTGCCTCATCAACCCGTCTGGCTTATAGTAAGATAGGCGTACCAAAAAAAAAACCCAGTTTAATACATTTTCTAGAAATCTTGCACGTTCCAATCTGAAAACATATATAAAAGAGGCAAGGATAATATACAATGATTTCAAAAGGAAGGATAGGCCCATCTAAATATTTTACTCAAAACTTTTTCATACAAGAAAAAGTAGCGCATCTGTCATAATACAAACGTCATATATAATAATACATGACGTAACCAGGGTCGGATTTCTAAGTATAATTATTGTCCTAAATGTGCCATTATTTCATAGTTTGAAGTATGTAGTATCGTAATAATATTAAGCGAAAATACCATAATTTTACCTAAAGGTCGACTTGTATTATTATTGGGTCCTTTTACTTTTTGATATTAACCCTACGATATCGAGAATTTCTGTATTGTACATGAGGACCGCGTTTTTTTTAACATTAGAATTAGCTCTCTTTCTGGTCAATCGGTGCTCGACCGATACATTTATGTTGCATTCTTGATACAACTATAATGAGGGGCTACCACGATAAAAACTTTAAGCTCTAAGCAATCGGTTTGAAAACAGAATTTCAAAATATTTTATGAATCAGATTTTCAGATTCAATTAAGCACATATGGTTTCCATTGTACTCTTTTCATTTTACCCTTATTGAATTTAAAATATATTAGCTACCAATATTCAAAATTTAACTCACACTAAGTTCTTTAGAAAAAAATTAAACAGAAATGAAAATAAAACCGGCAAAAAGCGAAACGTATAGATAAACTAAACGCGTGATGCCAAAATCCCGGCACATGGGAAAAAGAAACACGAAACGTCAAACGTGATATAATTTTTGAAAAATAGTATACCTAATTTTATTTTCCATGTACAATATTTTTGAGGGTCTGAATCCAACCCTAGCCTAATCTTGGTAACGTTACTAAACTTACTGTAAAATAAAACTTTAAAAATGCGTTTTTATAATAATTTAATATTAACAAAATGAATATAAGATTATTTTACCAATGATACGATATCCCATGTATATTTATATGTATACGATATCCTTTTACCACGCAACTAGACATATTTATGACATACAAATCTGTCTTGCGTGCGCACCACTGTCGACCGAGTCGCGTTGGCCCTAAGCTGTAATTTTAGAGCCAGCGCACTGGTCCGTTTTGGTTGTTCGTTCGGCCCGGTCCTTACGATAGTAATATATAAGTCAATGATAATATATGACATATTTACAGTATCTTTCTTGAATAATATCAACCTTGTCACATTTTATTCAACGTTCATTTTTTTTTAACTTAACTTCGCAGTCACTATTCACCGACGTCAGCGCCGCTATAAATTCCACAATTTTCAAGGACAGCTTAGGGCCAACGCGACTCGGTCGACAGTGGTGCGCACGCAAGACAGATTTGTATGTCATAAATATGTATGTATGGCATACCCCTCTGTAAAAGGTACGAGAGTCCGACTCATACTCGTTATATAAAACTAGTTGCTTTGCGTCGTGCGTCATTTCGAAGTGATCGTAGCAGTAAATCGAGCTCCGACAAAATGCCGAATTGCAGTGTATTTACTACTATTTTAAATAAATATAATTTACTACACAAGTTATATATATTAACGAAAATATATTTCCTAATAACTAAATCAGTTTGTGATGAATAATAATCATTACATATAGATGTGTAGTGGATTTTGTTAAATGATTTATATATTCAGCTCAATTTTAATCTGATACTGAATATTATATAAATATAATCGATAACTAGTATTTATTAAAATATTATACAAAATACAGGCCAAATAAGTCAAATCGAAACTTGCTACCTCGCAGCAAAAGTGTGCAATTTTTATAAAAATTTACTGGTATCACTGCAACCGAAAGTATTGCACAATAGTCATGAACGCTGACACTTTAGCTATCGATAAGTTAAACCATGCGGGTTTGTCTGCAAAACCGATTTATAGTTTTTATTTAGATTTTATAATAAAGTATTACAAAAAGTAGTAAATTTTTCTATTATTTGTTTGTTATTACAGATTTCCAAGAGATCCTCTTAGGTGGCACACTTGGATTGTAGCTTGTAGAAACCATGAATCTAACACTGCAGTACCAACCTTGAACTTGTGTGAGGTAATGTTGGGCTGTAATTATATTTAGATTAAATATTTTTACTATTATCTTTGATACCAATATTATTCTATTTGAAAATATTTTATTAAGTTTACAAAAGCACTAACCTATGAAATTTAATTCATATATTTATATACCTATTATTGTAATTGTAAACCTAATGTAGTATAATTTTTGTACGCTATATCTTTATCATATATATATAGCTTGAATCTTCTGACTAATATATAAAATTATTTATTTTAGGGTAATCGTTTCACAGTATCGTGTACATCGAAAAAAGAAAGCTGGACGTTCCGGCAAAATTCCATAAGTTATCTCAAAAGTCACAATTCGAAAAAAAATCCTTATATAGCCCGAACTAGTCCTACTCCCACTGCGAGTACGAGCCAACACTTAGGCCAAGGAAAATTAAAATGAAAAAAATACCTTGACATAAAAAACAATAGCATAAACAGGCTTCACAAGTTTGCAAGAAATACTATGCCCTAACATTTAACTATTACTCACCAAAATCCTATCGCTATGTACGTAAAACTTTTGGAACATGTTTGCCTGCACCCGTACATTGACTAAGTGGTACACTACCATCTATCGTCGACCAGGGTTTACTCAAGAAGCGCTGACGGCATTAAAATTGAGAGCGGAGAGTAACCCTGATAATTTTTTTTATTGTACCTTGGTAATGGATGAAATGAAAATTAAGCAATTGACAGAATACCATACTAGTAGCCAAAGGCATTATGTATATAACCAAAATGTCTTTTAGAACTTGCATGGTACTACGTCAATTGTTTTATTTTCATTTCATTTATCACTAATATACAATATAATTTCTTGTCAGGGTTACTCTCTAGTCTAAGTTTTAAAACAGTTAACGCTTTTTTTTTGTGTAGTCAAGTCGGCCATAAATTGTACTGTACCACTTTGTTATAGTATGAAATGAAGGCAGACCAATTTCAAAACTTTTGATATTTCGCACATATTGTTAAGCTTTCGGTGAATAGTAATGTAAAGTTAAAGCAAAATATCTTTCTGGGGAATACTTAGCCTTAGGTAGATGTCTGCTTAAAGTTCACTTTGTTAAACTATTATATAGTCTAAAACTTTTTTGTTTTCCTATTTTATTAAATATTTTCCAGACAGTTCATTTAATAACTCTTGAAAATCAACAACTATTTTTCATTAGCGGTTTCGTAATTGAAGCTTTATAATAAAAACAAAAACTTGGTTAACACTATCTAAGACGATAAACTGATAGGACTTTTCTTTTCAAAAAATCTGATTTTTAAAATAAATTAACTAAACCTATTTCAATTTGTTAAATGTTTTAAATTTTATCCTGCATAATGTAAAATAAACCTGTAGCAAAATAATAAACTTATTTTCAATAATTTCTAAGGGTTTTTCCGAAGATTTCCAAATACTTAAAAAAAGTATTAAATAAAAAAGAATTTCAAATAACACCTTGGTATTATTTATCTATGTATTACTTACAATCAAATAAAAACGCGGACTATGGTGATTTGTTTATCGATAAAAAAAACATCGACATAGTCCAAGCCTTACGTGCTTACGCATTTAGACAGCGCCATCAGTGTATCGACACGTGTACAATTTGATGGTATGCGTAAACGCGATGAACTCAAACACATATGCTGTAGTTTATAGTGACGCGATTTAATTTTGCATTTGTAGTTAAGTATACAGTTGTGTGGTTTTCTTGCGCCCCCCTGATGTTGACAGAATTTTTGTTTAGGAATTAACGCGCATGGCCTCTCCAGTTGGTTGAATACTCAAAGGACAGCGAGGTTGGCAACGGGAAAAAATGTTATTTATCGGCTAACGGATTTTTAACGGGATAACAAAAGTTTATGTATTTTTAGATTTGTTTTCGAAATAAAAATAATTTGGAAATGGCAAAAATTAAATTATAATTTTATTCATTTTTTTAGTCTAAAATACAAAAAAAAATGTGCAATACATTCTTATCTTTAAAAAGTTGAGAGAGTAAATTTTCATTTTACGTATTTCTTTTAAATACAGCTCGGAAACTGTTTTATCGTTGGTCGGCCAAAATAATGCGCTACTGTTGAATATATAGAAAACTATCAACTACTCTATTTATTTCATTCTCTCTCTCTTTACTGTTTGAGTTGCATCTCCTGTGAACCTGTGATATCCTTGAAAATCAATAAGTTTTATTTCGATAAAATGACTTTATTACCTATAGCAGGTAGTAGATGGTGCTATTATAAATCTCAAATAGAAAATGCTCAGTTCCCAATGGATCTCACAGACTCAACAGAGTGCTGTTGACTCTTGAGTTTCAAGTGATCCATTTGAATAATTAATGCGTGACGAAATGTACTAGAATGATTCGGTCACTAGAAATGAATGATTGATACTTATCTACCGTACTTGACGGGATTATAGTGTTCTATACAACGGGAGCTAGATTTTAATGTTGGCAACACTGGTATGTATGACTTGACTTAGGTGGAGATCGGAGAATGGTGGAGATTGGTGAATACATCAGTAAAACAGTAATATACAGCGTTTAATATTGAAATTTAGTGGTCTAGGGATAATTGTTAAAAGACTGATGAGATATTAATTAACTGGTAATTCATCTTTTGTTCTTTTTTTTTTGGTTTTATGATGATCGAAGGTCGAGCAAATGTAAGTAACTATTTCACAAATTCGTATTCTTAACGTGTTTGTGTTACTTAATAGTGACATTTTATATACTTTTCAGGAACTACCTGATTTTCAAGTCTTTCAGACGGTAATCAAGTACTGTCTGTTTATAATTATCGTACCAGTACTTTCCTTTTTTTTTGTGAAAAGTCTTGTATTCGATGGAGTATTAAGACTAGAACCCGTTACGAGCAGTGTATACTCTGCTATAGTGGCGGTTGTTGTTTTACATGTTACATTAGGCATGTATATCTATAGAGCGTATAACGAAGCAGAGAAAGCACCTAAGCCAATGAAAAAAGATTAAGATATTTTTACCTTCAGATTTGTAACATTTTTCCATATTATATAGGTTTAAGTAAAATTTTTTTGATCATAATGGATAGCCTATACATGAAGGGAGAGCTCCTACAAATTCATACAAAAAATGAAGAGGTGATTGAAGGCCGGTTTTACAGTGTGAACAATGATAAATCCAAAATATCTTTGTATAATGTTAAGGAGTTGCCTCAAGGTGAAGAAGATAAAGGTGTTTGTCACTATTATGATTCTGAAGTCAGAGATATTATTAAACTTCAGGAGCAAAATGAACAAACCTATCTAAAATTAACACAAAAAGAATGTGAAGAGATAATTAAAACATCAAAAAAATACATTTTTATAAATCAAGTTGACAAAAATTTTCATGAAGCAGTTGAAGATTTGGTTCAGTATAACTATATTGCTCTTAGCACAGATGGTGCTAATATGGGTAGAAAGTGTAAAATGCCTTTTGTTGTCTTATCAACTCCACAGCAAATCTACATATTTGATATTCAAGTGATGCAGTATCATGCATTTGATGCAGGATTGAAGAAGATTCTAGAGTGTGAAACTCCCAAAAAGATAGTACATGACTGCAGGAAAATATCAGATTGCTTGTATCACAAGCATAATGTTAAACTTAATTCTGTTTTTGATACCCAAGTATGTAGTTAACTTGAGAATATGTTTTAAACATTATATTTCTTTCATATAAATTAATAAAATGCCCTGTTGTAGGTTGGAGACCTTATTATTGCAAAAAACAAATCTGGTTGTTTACCAACTACAGTGAAGACATTAGCAGAGTGTTTAAATACTTATCTTGGACTGAAACATAATGCTATAGAAGAAAAAGTATTTAATTTATATTTTTATAAATGTATGTTCCCTTTGTAATATTTCTCTATAAATGGTAATCTTTTTTCAGCTCGACATAGTTCAGTGTACTGTAAGACCATTATCCACAAATATTAAAGAAAATCTATCTAAAAACATAGCTTATCTACACCGTCTATCAGAAATGATAAATGATGAAATGATGTTACCGTTCCATAGGGGAATAGAATGTTACATTGAAAATATAAGATCATGTGATGATTTCAAGGCATGGGAATTATGTGGAAAATCTGGTCAAACACCAAAGGACTTTAAGAGTGCAATTGAGTATTAGATTTATACTTTTTAAGATACATTCCACAGTAAAATAAACCCTAAAAACCGTATTTTTTGTTTCATATTCTTTGGTTTTATCAACTGTAATTTCTTTTTTCTTTAGCTTCATTTTTAATTTTATTAAGGGTTATCAATTATCATCACAGTTCTTTTTTTATTAATAACCTAATTTACTAGCAGTAAACACATTTTTAAAATTATATTTAATTCAAGTAACATCATATCAAATCATCAATCTTACATAACATGACAAATTGATTTTCGAAATACAACATATTAGTACAATTATACAATAAGTTAAAAAGTTACCTAAATATATACCACAAATAGGCAGGTCTTTTCTCATTAATATGGTTTTTTAAGTGTTTTGGAGGAAGCAGCTGAAGTTTTAGCACTAGTGCAGCAATATTTGTAAGCCATACAATGGGCGAAATCATTGTAGTAAGGTAGGATTACCACACCGCCAACGCTGCGCATAGACTGCCTTAGCTATTACAAATGCCAGATATAAAAGAGTTAAGGCTGGCGTAGCAATAAAGTTAAGACCTTAAATCATTTTTCAAAATAGAAAAATTTGCCCTGTACATTTTCAATATAGGAAAATTTGGACATTTAGTGTAAATGGTATTTCACAAAGTGAGATTGTGATGATAAACATGAATATAATAATATGACCCATTTATACCATCGAAATTTAACATACTAATGATTCAAATTTTGATATTTCCCAGGAATATGTTGTCAAATGTGGTGTAGCACATTTTACAACATATTCCTGGAAATTTTGGAGAGATCATCCTTATTAGCGTACATAGCCAGTGTCCTAAGCTTTGATCGGTACTAATTAAATTAAAACACAAATTGGCTAAAGTACTTCGTAATTATTAGTAACTAAGCTTTGATTGTGTTTATAAAAAAACTGTTAGTATTAGGTATTAAGAAGAGAAATTTGAAAAACTGCTTTGGTGCATATGATCATGAAAACGCAATTAATGTCTGACTAGCTTTTACAAAAATGTTATTTAATTATGCATCATTAAACTGACTGTAAAAATATGGACTTGCTATGTCACATACGTTATGAGTATTAAAACATATTTAATATTGGGTTGCATAAATTAGTATTTATATTTAGTATTAAATATAGTTAAAAAAATAAGAATAGGATATTTTGAGAAATGGTTTACATCACCGAGTATCTTATTATGTGAAGGCTAAAATATAAGTAAGATGCTTTCTTTACTGAATTGCTTACAATAATATTATGATTAAAATGTTTGTAAACTTAGATTCGGTAATAAAGTATTTGTGCTTGATCTTTTGTCGTAAATACTTCGTAATGTTTATATAAATATTTCTTACCTACGGGTTTTTAAAGTAGGTAGGAACTAGGAAAAATTTGAAGTGATGGTAAAAATGTTATGACTTGTTCAGTATAAGGCTTCCTACTTCTTACCAAACATTACTGAATGGAACTTCTTTTCTGCAAAGGCTTCCCTTTGGGAAGGGACCGTCCTCAACCCATTTCTGCCGGTAAGCATTATTCATTTCACTTTTAATATTGAGGTTTAGGTGTGGCAGTAACCTTTAGTCTGAAGCCTTCTTTGAATGGAATGTGAGATGCAGGTGTACTCATGAGACCAGATGCAGTTGCTCACCATTACATGAACTGTGAACTTGTTTGTTGTTCTAATATCCTTAAAACAGTAATAATGTGCCTTCTGATGGGGTAATTTTAAATAGTATATCTATACTAGATGTAGAAACAATTGTTCAAAAGGACCTCACAAACAATGAATAAAATGATGAGACGTTAAAAAACAAAATCAATTTAAACTAGAGTCGGCGAGGCTGGCTCTGCTCTTTTTGACCGATACGCTGGTGTCCTCTCTGGCTGATGCTTCGTATCTATTCTTCCCGGGGTACAAACTGGAACACTCCTTTGTGCCTCGGGCTGGAGCTTGCGTATACGTCAGAGAGGACATCTGTTCTCGACGCCTCGGTAGTCTTGAAGGTTCGGACCTGTCCATCCTTTGGCTACGCGTAGACAGCGACGACCATCCGCGCGTGTTCGGGTGCCTCTATAGGTCCCATAGCGGTAATGCCGAAACAGACCGACTCTTCGACCACTTCCAAATAGCTACAGATTCTTTGCTACAGCATATCACCTCCGCAGAGATCGTGATCCTCGGCGATTTTAACGCCCACCACGCCGAATGGCTTGGTTCACGTTTAACCGATCATACGGGGAGATCTGTTCATGATTTTGCCTTGGCATATGGTCTGACACAACTGGTTACTTCGCCTACGCGGATTACAGATGTGGAGAATCATACACCTTCCCTCTTGGAACTTCTGCTGACCTTTCATCCGGACGGATATCAGATTTCCGTCGACGCTCCTTTAGGTTCCTCGGACCATTGTCTTGTCCGGAGTGTGGTGCCGGCATCACGCTGAAATCGCAGTTTCATTCTGCAGGCTACCGCCGTGTTTGGCACTATAGGTCAGCAGATTGCGATAGGATGCGATCTTCGATCCCAACTTTGTTGCTTGTTCTGTCGTTGATGTCGTACTTCTGGGCATGGAACTTTTTATTCCTTCCTCTGTGGTGCCCATCGGAGGAAAATCTCAGCCATGGTTTGGTCGCTACTGTAAAATAGCATCATGCTATAAGCAGGAGTGCTACCAAGCCGGGGCTGACGCATCAACGTCCCGGGATGTAAATACCAGCGCTCTAAAAAAGAAGTATAATTCTGCCTCCAGGTCCTTCAAAAGAGTCATTGTCAAGGCAAAGTCAGAGCACATGGGCAGAATTGGCGAGAAACTAGTGTGGCCACAAAACCTGTTGCCCTCATCCCGTAAGATCTTAATCACGCTGTTAAGGTCCTCGTCAATATCCAAAGTGGGTCTTAGGGCATCGAATCGATTTTTAAGTTCTAGATGGAAGCGTTGGGAGCCAGTTACGGTTTGAAACAGATTTGGTCGAATCATAGACTTCACAAATCCTTTGTGGCTTCTTCGTGAAGAACGTATTCATCAGAAATAGCCCCTCTTTCTCGAGGAAGTTGACCAGCATTTGCCCCCTGTGATTCCTGCTTCCGAAACCGTGGTGTTCCAAAATCGATTCGACGCCCGAGTGTTTACCCACTTTGGCATTAAAATCCCCCATAACAACATTGTAGTGGGCCTTTGTGGTGTTACGTAAGGCCCTAGAAATGTCTTCATAGACAGTTTCTACTTCGTCATCCGAATGTGCCGAGGTAGGGGCATAAATTTGTACGATCTTCAGAGAGTATCTCTTCGATAACTTAAGTACAAGGTACGCTACCCGTGTCTACTACACACATCCTATAACGAGGAACCTGTCTACTTGAGATTTCTACAACGTTGTTAGTGAGGATCCTATGAACGAGGATACCTACTCCGCCTTGCCATCTCTGCACAGGGAGCACGATTCACTGGCCCGTGCCGCAAAGGAGAAAGCCGATCTGCTAGGCTCTTTCTTTGCATCCAACTCGACTCTCGATGACGTGGGGAGCACGCTGCTGACCATCCCGCGGTGTGAGTGCTCCATGCCGGAGGTGCGGTTTACACAGCGCTCGCAAAGCACTCATAACGTCAAACATCCATAAGTCGAGTGAGCCTGACGGTATCCCCCCAGTTATGCTGCAGACGTTTGCTCCAGAGTTGGCACCGGTCTTAACGCGTCTTTTCCGGTACTCCTACTCTCTAGGCGTAGTCCCAAAATCATGGATTACGGCTTTCGTCCACCCGATCCCTAAAAAAGCGACCGCTCAGACCCGTCCAACTACAGGGCCATCACCATCACCT